TATATATATATATATATATATATATATATATATATATACAGACCCTTTCCAAAAAAATAGAATATCATGGAAAAGTTGTTTAACTTCCATAATTCCATTCAAAAAGTTAATCTTTAATAGATGATAGATTCAGGGCCCACAATTTAAACACTGGACCTCAAGCAGTATGGGTTCTGTTCCTCACCTTCTTCCTCCAAACCCTTGGACCTTGGGGAGTGGTGGGACCTGGGGGAGTGGTGGTGCATAGGTTAGAGTGGTGGGCCTGTGATCCGAAGATCGTCGGTTCACGCCCCGGCCCGGACAACATCAAATTTGTGGGTGGGGAAGGTGACGCACCCACACTTGCCCCCATCCTCATTCGCTTCACTCTGGGCCCATGAGCAAGGCCCTTAACCCTCCATCTGCTCCCTAAACAGGTCTCTCTTGAAAATGAGTTCTCGTGGCTCAATGAGACTACCTGTATAAATAAAGGGTAAATGAAAAAAATAAACGATTTCAAGTATTTATTTGTTTATTTTTACATAATATGGGCTTCCAGCTCATGAAACTCACGAAAACAGGATTTAAAAAAAATTGAATACTGTGGAGAAATCAGCCCAAATTTTGCAAGATATGAACTGAGTGTGACACACTAATCATCTGCTAAACTCAAAGCACCTGCACAGGTTTCCCCAGGTGTCAATAAATTGCTTCAGTTTGGTTCAATTGTCTCAGTTCTGTTCAATATGGGGAAGACTGCAGACATAACAACTGGCCAGAAGACCATCATTGATGCCCTCCATAGGATGGTAAGCCACAAAAGTTCATAGCTAAGGAGGCTGGCTGTTCACAGAGTGCTGTGTCCAAGAATATCAATGGAAAGTCTAGTGGAAGGGCAAAATGTGGCAGAAGAAGATGCACCAGCAAAAGAGATAACCGTGGGCTTCAGTGGATTATCAAACAGAAGATTCCAGAATCTGGCAGAGATCCAGAAAGAGTGGAATGAGGCGGGAGTCACGGCTTCAAAAACCATCACATTTAGACGCATCCGGGAGATGGGCTACAACTGTCGGGTTCCTCGGGTCAAGCCACTTCTGAACCTGAACCAACACTTTTCCAATGAAAGTAAAGTGTGCCTTTCATTCAGAAATCAAGGTCCAAGGGTTTGGAGGAAGAAGGTGAGGAAAAGAACTAGGGCTGCAACTAACGATTATTTCAATAATCGATTCATCGGTCGATTATTTATTCGATTAATTGACGAATCGGCAAAAAAAAAAAAAAACGTTTTTATTTCCGCCCCTTTATTCCAAAATTGAACATTTGACTGACATAGCAATTCACACAAAAAACAGGTTGCTATTTGACTATTCTGTTAGTAAAATATTGAAAAATAAAAAATAAAAGTTAGTCAAATAGCTTAAAAAAATAAATGTTCACAAAAATATATACAAATGTATCTTTATACCTGCACAATATTTAGCTACTTTGTAAAATGTGTCCTTGAGGGAAGAGTGTAACCTGGATTAAAAGTGTGGATTATTGTAACCTGGATTAAAAGTGTGGATTATTGTAACCTGGATTAAAAGTGTGGATCATTGTAGTGAAGCTTTCGTCTTCAACCATCGACAGAGGCCTCATGTCAGTGACGATCATGTTCAGGATGTTTCAGTGAAGACAGCTGCTGCTGTGGTGTCCATGATGTCTGTCCATCATGAAGGATGTTGTTTGTTGTTGTTTTCTGGAATGAGACAATAAATATTTATTATAGCATAATTTACAGCAACTCAAGAAATGCCTTGTTTCACTTACAGCGTTAGGTTCAGGCAAAAGTAGCTAAAAGAGCAATTAAACACACACACACAGACACATATATATATATATATATATATATATATATAATACTTAATTACACACATTTGAGTAGATGTAATAAATTACTTTAATTCCTGTTTAAATGCATTTCATCCTGCCATACCTGCAGTATCTTCCAGCAAATTAAAAGTTGAAGCTTAATCATTAAATTAAATTATTATCTTTGTGTTAGATTTATTTATAAATCACATTTAAACACTGCTTGTACCAATTAAATTAAATACAAAGTAACACACACGTTCTCTATCACCGTCATTAATCAGATAAACAAACAAACAAACAAACAGCAGCTTCATCTACAGACAGACTGACGTTACGTTTTCTCTCTTGAAACAGAACGTGTTAAATTGTAGAGACTCACCTGAAACACGAGTTGGGACTGAGACATGTTGTATCTGCTGCAGCTCGTGACTCCGACATGTTTACGTTTCATCTCCGTGGTTCTCTCGTGTCGTGTCGGTGATTTTCAAAGCGGCATGCTTCTCATCTTTTATCTTTGTGAAGAGCTCCCACTCTTTGGAGGACTTGGGTCGAACAGTTTTCACTGCATTGGTCATTTGTAAAATTTACTTAATTTCCTTTGAAAACACCACCTCTGCTCTGCCTCCCCCCTCGCTCTGTTCAACTCGCGCTGCAGTTTTTTTTTTTCCCAAACTTTATTCAGTCAGTCAGCATTGACAATGAACTGCCCGTGAACAAAACGAAACGGCTCCGCAGCGCCGTGAAAGACGCATAATCGCGCGACACAACCAATCGATAACGAAATTCGTTGCCAACGCTTTTAATCATCGATTTTTATCGATTTTATCGATTCGTTGTTGCAGCCCTAAACAGAACCCATACTTCTTGAGGTCCAGTGTGAAATATCCAGTCAGTCATGATTTGGGGTGCAATGTCCGGTGCAGGTGTTGGTAAACTCTGCTTTCTTAAATCCAAGGTCACT